GTTTATCGTTTTTACCAATAATAATTTAATTCGACGATTCGGACCTTTCTGGTGAAAAACTGATAAATTTTACATCAATCAATTCTTAGACTGATTCTTAAGATAATATGTTGATTTTCTGCTGTTTTATTTTAAAAGTTTTCATTTATTTTGTTTTGTTTTTACAATTGCATGATGGGGAATTTTGAAATCTATATGATTGTGTGTACTTGTTGCATATCACTAATAATAATAATAATAATAATAATAATAATAATAATAATAATAATAATAATAATAATAATAATAATAATAATAATAATAAGACAATTTCAAGCATGTTTGAGAAACCTATCAAGATCACAATATTACGATTATGAATATCAACAGAAAAAAAAATAAAGAGCCCCCTTAACAAAGTTAACAAATAAAAAAATATATCAATAATTAATAAAATCATTAATTATTAAAATCATTATAGTTACTATCAATATCTATCATTTAGAACAATCGACACACTTGTTGAAATAACTGTATGGAGTTAAAACTAATGATTCCGATTAATAAAAATTATCCTGGTACAAGATTGTACAATTGTTCTGTTTATACCCTCAATGTTAAACTGTAAAACCAATTATTGGTTTTGAACATGGTCCGATATTCTGAAACCTGAACAAACATACCACTTACGTCATTAATCATCCTTTCATACACCTGTCGATAATTTTTGTAGTTTAAACATCATTTAATATCGACTAAATTTTTTTCATTACCAGATATTAAGTTCGTAATAGACTTTTAAAGGATATAATGTGTAGACATTTACTTTAGCCAAGCCTATTCTGGGTATTGTTTACAGCGGCGTGTAATAGTACAGAACATTATCGGAGATTTCAAAAATTAATACGCAAAAACCGAATGTACGCGTCTGCTAATCGTTGGTGCATCATTTGTATTTTTATGAATTAAGGTATTATTGGCCGGGTTCCTAAAGTGCAAAATTAGCTTATATCATACTAATGTAGGTCGGGCGGGCAGGATAAGTGCGGGTACCAATTTTGTGTAATTAAAATTAAGCTGTTTAATGATTTTTAGCCATACTTGGAGATTTAATGAATGAAAACAAATTTAAGAACGTTTTCGCCGATTTTATATGCCTTTATAGCCGACTATGCGGTATGGGTTTTACACATTGTTGAAGGCCGTACGGTGACCTATTATAGTTGTTAATTTCTGTGTCAGTTGGTCTCTTGTGGAGAGTTGTCTCATTGGCAATTATACCACATCTTCTTATTTTTACATCTATTTTGAAAGAAGAGATAATTTCATTAATTTTCTCGATTTTCAGTTATAGTTCAGCATGCCAAAGCAGTTTGCAAACTTTTACCAAAATCAGTGAAATAGCTTATCTACTACTTCATATGGTACTAGTATTAGAAACTATCCGTTCCTAGTCCTATTGTTTTTCTGAACCTGAAACTCTCAAGAGTCACGTCACATTAAAACAACCAAAGGGGAATCACATGATTATTGTACATGTCTTGTTCTCAGAGGCAGATGTCAAGTGGACACCACTATTTGGTTTCGGTGCAGAGTAACCATACCATGAAAGAATTTATATGTAAAATTATCTCCGTTATTATCCGTGTTTTATCCCCTTATAAGTTATCAATTTAGAAATTATTAAGAAGCAAAGGTTTCAACTCCCTCAGACAGGCAAAGTTCAACTGTTTCGGTTTTTTAACATCCTTGGCTTTCAAATTTTCGGCTTTGAACGTGCCTGATAAAGATAAATCAAGAAAGCGCTTCGGACGCTTGGAACTTATAATGTGTTATTTTCATTTATTACAGCGCTGGATCGATACCGCTTCTGTACTGATATAATTTATAACCAACCTTTCTAAGATTGTCCGATTATAAATTTAGAAATTATTAAGAAACTAAGGTTCTAACTCCCTCTGGCAAAATTGACCTTAGATGTATAAATTTTGCTATTATTTATAGAATACCTTTTTGGTCATACAGCGCTTCAACTGTTTCTCGGTTCTTTGGCTTTCAATTATTCAGCATTGAACGTTCCTGATGTAAGTTAATCTTGAAAAGCGCTTCGGACGCAAGAGATTTATAAAGTGTTGTTTTCATTTTTAATTTATAAAAAATAATAATAATAATAGAAGACAACCTACGTGTTTAAATTACTAATGTCGAAGTAAGTACATGTAGGCCTATCCCGTCAAGTTTAAGTGCATTATTTTGTTTGATCATGGACTCAATTTGGCCAGTCCTGCACCATTTTTATGTTCATTAAACACCAATGTGTTGTGTTATTAATTGATTTTGTTTTATTTCAGTTCATTGTGGTGCGTTGTTGTTCACTACCTTTTTATAGATTGCTGTTGATAAACAACAAAGGTTTTAGTTGAAGGTTTATCATATCAGTGAAATTGGAGACTAAAAAACGATGCAAAAGTCCATTTACCATTAAAATCGAAACATTTACCATTATTAAAATATTGAGCCTCTAGCTGTTTTTTTTTTAAATTTTGGTGGGTTGACATTTTGTTTTTCATTTATACATGTAATCAAAGTGAAGAAAAACCTATATATATAGTATACAAACCATTTAAAACGAACCAAGACGAATGAGTTTGTGTAGGAAAGGAGATCAATTAGTAGGTTCAATCAGCACAAATTGTTTTGTCATTTTTCACCAAGTTGATAAAACAAGATTTCTTAAATTCCTTGGTGAGAGTAATGTATTCGAAAGAAAAGTAATCTGAAAATCTCCAAAGACTTCTGCTAGGTTGATAAATGACAGTTTCATTGTTTCGTTTTCTTTGATAGAATCCATAAAATCAACTTCGAGTCTAATTTGTTGGTTCTGTTGACAGTGTAAACCTTATCAGCATTCATGCAGAATATAGACTTATATGAATACGTGTCATTTATTTCAAATAAATCACATAATCCTTCAAACGTCTTACGATTAAATGATTTTTCGCGAAGGAATTATTCAAACAAATCATAATCAAGACCAATTTTATAAATATATATTTACCATTTTCTAGGATTGACTGATTAGAGTGTTTTTATCTTGAGAAAACATTGGGTAACCGCAGGACAATACTGGATTAGTTAAAATCAATATGTCGTCTAATTCTTGAAACTTCAGCAACCAATTATGATTTTCTTAACTTGGAGAGAAAAGCAACTTTGCCTCATTAAGCATAAGCATAATAACAGCTATTTATGAACATTTACAGCTGTGATCGTGCAAGAGAAACACACGGAGTTAAAATGATATTATAGAAGTCAAATTAAGCTTTGTCATAAGGATGTTCATTAACAGTCGACAGAAATGTATCCGCCAGGGTTACCTAAACACGTTGTAGTAATTGGTAACGCCGCCGACGGCGCAAACAGTACGCTCTAGTTTCGTGCAACAAAAATTTTAGTAATATTTATACTTTTCAGTTCTTTCACCAATGAAAATTAACGTATATTTAACTTGGGTAAGTGGGGCTTAATTAAAAAAAGTAGTCCTTTGGTATGCCATCTACATATGTTCATTCCAGAGGCTCTTGTGACAAATATATTTTGATCAATTCAATTTTAATTGATCGCTTCGAATGCCGAAAATTCTATAGATATACAAAAGCCGAAAAGCCTTTTAAATTATTTCCTAGTAGTATCATCCAAAAGAAACATCTTAGTATGGCATTGCAAGCTATTCATTGATACCACATAACTCAGAGGGTTGACACTAATAAGTATGGTCACCTGGACTTCCCACTTTCCACAGTAAAAACCATACGAAAAAGTACGTCCGTTTTGCTGTACATGATATATAAATACGCAGCCACGTGCGGTCGGAATATTGGGACGTTAAATTTGATGCCTCGTGTTCTGAGAGCTAATTAAAGATCCATTGCAACAACACTCTTACGAGACATAACACAGGCACAATTTTATCCCCATCCAATGTACCCTTCAGCCTCCTTCTCAATTTTTCCGCCTTTTGGAAGATTTGAGGAGCTGATGGAAGGGTGAGCAGATATTGCCCAATACGTAAGACCTTCCATATTGCTCATGGGAAGATCAAATTCGGTGATTTGTCTCATTTGGGGATGTCGCAATCGAGGAAAAGAGACGGGATTGTGACTACGATCATAAAAGTCCGTAAACAGTTCATATCTTTCTGTTCTGGTTTTATTGTGTCATTGGTTTCCTGTTCCATTTTGTATATCCCACATTTTCATTTATTCAAATTTTATTTCTTTTTACTTTAAAGAGCTTTAAAAATCTAAAATCTTTCGCTGCTTGTGTCGAATTTTAATTAGTCTGGATAGCAAGCACGGACAGTCTACAACCCTCATTTCATGCCACACCTTCCACTCGCTTCTCATTGGTCGGGAGATATTTTGAACAATGTCCTTTATTCTATCCTTCCGAAATCTCACAACAGGTATCCCGCGAGACCTTCTTTATGGTACGCTATAGATATTCGCTGATAATGTGGTTCCTTAGTGTTCAAATGCGAGTTACAGACGAAGATAAAGTTTCGTTCCGGGTGGCCTACTAATAAAAAACTACAGTGTACAACCATTTAGCAGCAGTTAGGTGGGAACATTCGTATCTTTCAGAATCATGCAGTTTTTAACTTAATTTGATAGATGCTATTTCGAGCAAGGAGGGCTTCGCATGAATAAGTCGTATCAAATCTACGTATCTTCTCTGTCTAGATTCTTTACACCAATAAATTGTAACATTAAAATGCTAGACAATATCAGAGTATATATATATAATTTGTTTTACCTACTAACTAGCTACATTGTGCCATAAGCATTTATATCCAACACGCAGGGAAACATTAATTCATATTATAAATATATCATCTCGGGCTAAAGACAAACTTTCTGCAAGGTGCCAATCTTTTCTATAACGTAGCTAAGGTCACTATCTCTGTTCTTGCATATTACGATTTGTTTTTGCCAATTCTAATTATCGCCATTTTATTTTAGTCGAAATTATTTCCTGAAAGAACGACCATCTTCAATGTATCACCATTATGTATAATTCATGAGGTAAGTAGTTTTTGTTTTTTAACGACACATCGGGCAATTTTTTCAAAATTTATAAATGTTGTTCGTATTTTTGAAGTATACATATAATGCAAAGCAATTACATCCATCGGATTAGTATTGCTAATATCTTCTCCATTGAATCGGTACAAGTTTTGATGATAGTTTTGGTAATAATTTCATTTACCTAATTTTGTCTGACCATTAATTAAGATATGCTATTGCTGCATACCGATTCAGTTCATAATGTTTGTAATAAATTGTTTGGCCACAATTAATAGTGTGCGTTATAAAATTTGAATTTGTGAGAAAAATCAGGGTGGTGCAATAGATTTTTCCATTTGTATATATAGATATGTCAAAAGTATTTTTTGCTCGAAAAAAAACCAACACTTTTTTTTTATTTACTGTTTTTGTCAAACTGTTTTCTCTGCCTTTGGAAGTATTGAAAAAGCCGGATTTGTTTGCTGAATATTTCTTTTTTACTGCTGCCAAAGTGTTCCAAATATTAATTATCATTTTGTATCGCTCTACGTATTGTGTGTTGATTTATCACCAAATTTGACCGATTTATTCTTCATCGATTCAGTTTTGAAAGTTTTTAGATAGCGGAGAAATATGCCATATGTAAATTAATTGGAATTTGCCAGAATGTATTTACATTTTCAGAGAATATTGGGCCGAATAATGTATAGTTTAGGTGTAACGTGCTTACATTTTTCTGTCATCAAATTGATACCTTTTCACTCTTTACTGTGTGATTATATAATTTACCATTCAATCATGTCTATTGTACTGTTTATTGCCAAACCTATACCGTTTGTTAATAAATTATGTAATAACACTTCTATCTAGTACATAAACTCACAACTGTGATGTCATTAAATGTAATTAAATATCCTGCATTTATCATGCTTTTCCATGAAATAAGGATAAATTGCTGAAAGATCCCCTCCTATATTATTAAAAGCTATCATGTTGCATTTACCATTGGTAGTATGTTGTAAAATGGGGTTCACGCCTTCGTGATAGTTTCTAATACGTACATATAACTATCTTACTTATTCAAACCTCACTTGAAATACGGATATTAATCAACGGACAAGGAATCAAAGACTTGAAATAATCGATTCAGATTATTTTGAATGTATTTGTCATGCCGTTTTTTTTCACACAAACATGTCATTCAAAATTTAACGAGGCTACAGTTACTGAAGAGCGATACAGTAGTGAAAGTTACACACCGTCAACAGATGTGTAAACAATAGCAGCATAAATCTAAATAAACTCATCATAGATACCAGGATTGAAATTTTGTACTTGAGCCAGACGCGCGTTTCGTCTACAAAAGACTCATCAGTGACGCTCGAATCAAAACAAGTTAAAAAGGCCAAATAAAGTACGTAGTTGAAGAGCATTGAAGACCAAAAATTCCTAAAAGTTTTGCCAAATACAGCTAAGGTAATCTATTCCTGAGGTAGAAAGACCTTAGTACTTCAAAAATTCAACTGTCAAAGTTTTGTTAACAGTTAATCTATAATAATGACCATAGCAATGATAATTCAGGTCAACACAGAAGTGCTGACTACTGGGCTGGTGATACCCTCGGGGAATAAAACTCCACCATCAGTGGCATATGGATAGCAGTATAAATGTTAAGGCCAGTCATTTCACAATTCATTAAAACTGCAAAGCTCTGATGTAATATGTATTATGACGCAACTGGTTTCTTAAATTTTCTTCCAGAACTAAAACGATAAATGAAAAGCAGTTTTAAATATTCTGATGTTCAGTAGTTGTCGTTTGTTGATGTGGTTCATAAGTGTTTCTCGTTTTTTATATAGATTAGACCGTTGGTTTTCCCGTTTGAATGGTTTTACACTAGTAAATTTTTGGGGCCCTTTATAGCTTACTGTTCGGTGTGAGCCAAGGCTCCGTGTTGAAGACCGTACTGTGACCTATAATGGTTTACTTTTATAAATTTTGACTTGGATGGAGAGTTGTCTCATTGGCACTCATACCACATCTTCTTATATCTAATTAATGGGGTATTAGAGTGAGGGTATATTTCTTTAGCATCGTATACTGTTCGAATCCATTTGATTATATATCCAACGTAAAAGTAAGTGCACGGACTGAAATATTTAGGGTTCAAGTAATAAACATAACAACACAAATATGTTTAACCCCTCCACATTCTTTTTGTGCCTGTCCCAAGTCAGGAGCCTGTACTTCAGGGGTTGTCATTGGTTCATGTCTGCCATACTTGTTTTTCGTAAATTGTTTTGTTATAAATTAGGCCGTTAGTTATCTTAATTGAATTGTTTTCATATTTTTCATGTTGGGGCCTTTTATAGCCGACTATACGGTTGGGTTTTTTCTCATTGTTGAAGTACGTATGGTTGCCTATAATTGCTTACATCCACTTCATTTGAACTTGGGTGGATAGTTGTCTCATTGGCAATCATACCACGTCTCTTTATATATATATATATATATATATATATGAAGGTCATCAGACACCGTTAAGCACACGCAAACATTTTGTTATCCGACATTGTTTGCTCATTTTTGAAGGCCATACAGTGACCCGTAGTATTTTTACATCCTTATTATTTTAATCTTTAAATGAATAGTTGCCTCGTTGGCAATAATACTACATCCCCTTTTCGTCCAGCCAGATGCGAAATATCCAGTTGTTACAGCTATATGCCGTCGAAGACGGTGTCTTCAACATTTAGGTTAATCTGCGGTTAATGTTTTTTTGTTGTTGTGCATAAAACGTGTACAATTTGCAATACCAAATCAACATAGGCGTCAACAGCAATCCATACGGCTGAACAACATTTTGAATTGATAGATGAATATCTGTTAACTAGTCGGAAATTCGGTTTCCCACTGAGCAACAGCAAAGCGAAAATATTTACTACGGTACTTTAAAACCAGAAGATTCACAATGACGAATTGCTCTCTTGAAATTGTTTTTTTTTTGTTCTTCATTTCTTTCGCTTTCATAACGTTTGGCTGAAGCGTGTCAAATAAAATCTAATCCACCCAAGTGCTTTGGTTAGTAATATAGATAAAGCATCGTCCACTTAAGAAAAAAAAAAACTAAATGCTGTCATTAATGAAAAACGTTTTTCCGTTGATTTGTTAAATGTTATTTCCTTATAGCTTACAGTGGCAAACATTTCCTGTATATTCCGGACAGAAACAAATTACATTACGGTTTTTTAAAGCTGATCGGTCAGGATGATCCGGCACGGCAAACAAGGACGTCATTAAGCCTTGCAAAGGATCCCTTCAAAGAAATATTGGAAATTTTTTGAAGTGTATAGAGCGCTTCCTCTGATACGGGCATCGGATTTTAGTTTCATATTGATAACGGACGTGGCAGAGTATTTTTACATCCCGCTCAGTCATACCAACTCAGCTTGGTTATAATTTCCGGACGGATGAAATCCACATAACTGTATTCCGACACCAGTCAACCCTTGTTGTTTTTTTAATTGAATCGACACATTAAAATTGAATATGCATTATAATTTTAATTGTCTAATTAATCATACAATAAACATTATAGAAAACATGCATTTCATGACGGAATTTTTTTTTGGCAGGATTCCAAGTCTTTTGTTGGTATTTTCGTAAACGTTTACTGGAATTGGAATAGAAATTATTCGATTTTAACTATTTGACATACTGATATCTTGTTTAGAGAAAACATATTCATCTGAAATATGCTTGAGTTGTTTTGTGAATGTTCTATCAATCAGTGTTTAATTCGATTTTATCGTAATATGATGTAACTTTCGACAGGAAAATCCGGTAGTCAAACAATTTTTTCAACGTTAAAAGCTTAGACAGTTACATTTATATATCAGATTCATGAAAGTAGAAGAAATTAGCGTTGTATTGACATATTTTCTGACAGCGAAGATCCGCTAGGCTAATGCAACGATCAGGAAAGCACAAAAAAGTGTCTAGATTTATGAAAAGTGATTATCAGTCGGTGGTTTCTAAATATAGTACCAGTGCAGTTATTACTGGTACCACTCTGGTTAACAGTATGTGATGAGTACCAGACAAAAACAACCGGTAATGGATAACAAAATCTGATTACAAACAAAATAATGTTCTAAAGTGACCACTAATGGTAAATGGCCTACAGCATCGAAATTTAATCATAGATTTTGTATCATATAAGACGAAATGCGGTAAAAATAATAACAGTAGTAATTATGAAACTTTATAGAGGAAAATAGAGTAAACAGAAGAAACAAATATCAACCGATCGAACTCTAAAGAAAGCTATATGATGTAATAATTACATTACATAGATGTTTCAAAAGATTCCGTGATCTTGATTGACGGACTACAATAACGAGGCATGATTCCAAAATCCCAAGCAAAATGCAACCAATCGATGACAATAAACCCATGGAGTTGATTGGGATATACAAATATGGCCATCCATAAACTTCTTCTGTCCAACACTCACGATAATTAATGCTAAAGTAAAGCGTCCATTTGTATTTGTGGGATGTATGGATACGCAGCTACATACGGTCCGAATTTGGACGTTTAAAATTCGATGTCTCGTGAAAAGGGAGAACCACGTTCTCTGCACTTTAAAGAACCCTTGAAATAACTCTCTGAGAGGTTCTTAGAGGGCCTATTGTAAGGCAAAATTTCTACCCCTATCCAACATAATGACTTTTAATTGATGGCAGTCCCACATTTAAGACCAGTCCTTCATACCGGTCGACCTACCTTGCAGAACATACCCTTTGTAAAAACAGTTAACTTGTTCTCGTCTTTAATATGCATGGCAAATATGCCACTGGATATAAAGCAAGCAAGCAACAATCAGTCGATCGATGACCACATGATTGTGCTCTCCATGGCACCTTTTCAGAAATGCATAGGAAAATAAAAGAAAGGCTTGATTTGACTCGTAATTCATGGTACATGTAATTGCATAAACATAAAATTTTAAGAAT